CCCCCCCGTGTCCAAGCTCCCTCGGGGGCCCCGGCGGCTGCTCTGGCCCCACGTTGCGGCACAAGCTGCAGCCACTCGCTCCGACTCGGTTGCTCGCAGCCACCGCGTGTTTTCATTTTCAGCTCGGAGCAAGGGCTTAGTGATGCCTCTCGGCGCCCGCTGTGCTGGGACAGACCCAGCTTTTGGGAAAATGCGGAGGTAAATAAGTAAATGGATAAAAAATGAGACAGGCAGAGGGGAGACGTCCCCGGTTCCAGGCGACAAAATAGCTCCGCGAGTCTGGGACGCTCTTGGAGAGGATCGGGTCCCTCCAGCCCTAGTCGTGGGGTGCCCAGGGGCACCGAGAGCCCTTGCGGCCTGGGGAAGGGGGAGAGGGACACAGGAAGGACCGGCATCCTGGCAAAGGCCGTTCCCACTCGTAAGAAAGAAAGCAGCGGTAGCAGGTTAATGACTTTCGCCCACTTTAAAACAAGTTTGTTTTAAAGGGAAACCAAAGAAAATAAAAAAAAAAAGGAAAAAAAAAAGAAAGATAACAAGGAATTGTTTGCCAGTCGCATGCACTTCCTGAGATTCTTGCCACAGCAGCGGGCATCTGAGGGAAGATGTGCTGCTTCCTGGCATGCGGAGATCGCGGGGTTATCATTTGGTAGCCGCTACCAGCGATAAAAGGGTCTTACTCCCCTCTATCTTTCCCGTACAGAAAGAAGCCACGGGTGGACATTAAGATCGCCTGTGTCTTTAGTCTTTTGGAAGTTTGCGAAGGGACGTCAATAGCGATCCCTCTGCCTCCTGCCACTCTCGTAGGTGGCACGTCCCAAACACCATGAGGAGCGTCTGTGTATAATATGTGTGTATGTATATATATATGTGTGTATTATATATGTATAAAGAAATAAAGAAATAAAAAAGAAAGGAAAAAAACGCAGGACGGGAATTTGGACGAACCAGTCACTGCCTTTACTAGTAATACTGCAGGCCTCCAACCTCGCATACGGACTGATGTCTAGAAGGCGGCGGTCGAGGCAGAGCTGAGAGGGAGATATTCCGGCAGCTGCAGCGTTACCTTGGCACTCATTTAGGGACACAAATTAGTTACCTGCAACAAAAGGCTTCCAGGAAACGACTCGGTCGGGCGCCCCCCACCCTTCCCTTAGACGGTCTTTGCCCTGGTTAGTAAAAAGAGCATTAGGAAAAAAAAGAGACAGTCTTTTATTTCACCCGTATTTCACATCGTTGGCGCGGGCAGCCGGCAAAGGGTGCGTGGGGCATTAGATGCGCTGAGCGAGCCCGGGCTCAGCCGCCCCCACGGCCCGGGGCGGGGTGGGGGCGGCGGGGCCGGACAAGCTCCGATCCTACCCGACCAGGTAAAATCCTTTCGGAGAGCGCGGCAGCGGCCAGGTAAAAATGAAAGTAATAATAGTAACGGTAGTAACAATATTAGTAATAGCATCGGTTTGGGGCAAGCGTTATCAGGCCATTCGTGCCCCTTGCTATGAAATGTTACTGCAGTGAAAGGGCTCTTTCCCAAGTGTCTAAGAAGTTCCTCGCCGAGTGATTTCTTCGCAACTCACTGCAACTCCGCTCGCCCCATGCCGTGGCTTTGCAGATAGCATTGGCTGTTTTAGCACGCAGAGGATTTTTTGCCTCCCCCCACCCGAAATCTAAGTCTGTTTTTCAGACTCGGGATCCAGATGTCACCAATTTGCAGTCGCGCTCGGGAGCAAACTGATACCCGGTGCCCCGCGGTAGGGCAGGGAAGCGCCGCGCTTCCCAGCGAGCTGCAAAGGGAGCTGACGCTGCCGCCAACTGCAGTCCGCCCAACTCGGGTGAAAGCGCCCACGAAGGGTGCAGCGTTTCGTTTCCGTACTCACATTTTAGGGAGCTAAAGAAGAGGCTTTGTCGGATCTAATCAGTCCGCGCAACAGGTTTTGACATCCCCTCGCCGCTTAGGCTCAACAGCTGCTCCGGTCCGGGCTCGACTGCTGCGGTTAGGAGCTCTAAGGAGAGGAAGCGGAGTCAGGTATAAGGCTAATAAACGTGCAGGGGCAGAGGGTGCGAGCACGGAGGCGGGGAGGGGGAGTCGAGCCCTCACCACATCTTTTGTCTTTCGCGCTGCTGTAAGAGGGGAGAGCTCGGGGGTCGGGCTGGCTCCGAGGAGCGAGTGAAGCGGCTCGGCCCCCCCGTCCCGTGAGGGTCTCCTGCAGCTGCGAGCAGCCCCGACTGGGAAGCGTCGACACGGGGATGCTTTCGCTTAAAAAGTACGCGTTGAACTCCGCCGAAATCGGTCAGCATCGACACATCAAGCGGCGGAGTGCTCATTTTGTAAAAGAAGAGAGGAAAAAATACGTGGAAAAAAAAAGGCTTAGAAACTAGTCATCGACTAGTCCACGAATTTGTTTTAAACGATTTTGAAGTGCCTCAAGGCTGCCCTGCAAAGGAAGCCTCTCCTTGACAAGCCCAAGCGGGAGCCGCTTCCTTCCCGCAGCACTTGAGGTAGCGTGGACAGGTTATAGGGACGCAGAGACCCCGGAGCGGGGTCCTCGCGGGGATACGCGGGGACATGCGGCAGATACGCGTCGGGTCTGCACGTGCGGGGAGCTGCTGCGCTTCCCCTCACCTTCCTCCTCCTCCTGCTTCCTCCCGCTGCCCCGCGGCTTCTCGCTATCCCCGGGGCTCCGCTGCGTCCCCGGAGTGCGTGGGGACGCGTTTCAAATTAAAAAAAAAAAAAAAAAAAAACCTTAAAGGCCGTGAAACTGCTCTAAGTTTGCAACTGGGAGATGAGGAGCATCGGAGGCAGCTCCCGATCCGCCTTTCACTTGGGCACTTGCAGCCGCTCCCGAGTTACTCGCCCCCCGGCGCCCTGTGTGCACTGTTTCAGAGGGACCTGCAGACACCCATTCCCGCATTACTCAGCCACTCGTATCGCCCCTTCGCGGTCCTCCCACGGACACTCATCTCCAGACCGCACGATCTCCCTCCCCTGACTTTCACTTTGCGCGCACCAGGAAGGACAGCGCAGGACACGGGTCCCCGTCCCGCAGCGGCACTAAACTAAAGCAACACCGCGCAGCGTGCGCCCGGGGCTGAGACGGGTCTGCTCACCCACGCGGAGTGTCCGCGGCTCTCGCGTGCTCCCCGTGCCGACACCCTCGAGCCGAAAGCCCCGACCGCGGCCGCTCCGCGGAGCAGCGCGGCGGCGATCGCGCCGCGGTCCCTGGTGCCCGCGCCCCTTCCCAGCTCATCCCAGCGGGCAGGTACGACCAGGGTGTAATGAGATCCCGGGGCACAAACAAGGTTCCCATTGTACCGTAGGGGCCCCTTCCCATAAAGCTCCCCGACGGATTTTACTTGGAGAGCCGGGACTGGGGAGGGAGGGAATGAAGGGCGTTAGGAGAGAAACTTTCTGCAAGGGACAAGGTTTCCTCCCGCTTTAGCCGCGGGGCCGGGGGCAGCGGGGCCCGGGAGGGCCGATAGGGCCCGGCCGGGACTCCCCCCTCTCCCCACGGGTGTCTGCGTCGTCAATCACGCTGGAAATGTCTTCCTCGCCCGCTAATATCTCAGCTCGCAGGGCCGCCTCCGAGTGGATCTGAGCAATCTGTCAAGCGAGCCGGGGAGCCACCTCAAAACAGATCGGGTTACCCCTGATTGACAGCGTCACCATGGCAAATAATTTGACTAAAACTATTGTCTTCTCCTGGCAGTCCCCGGGTCAGATAACTGGACCAATCACAGCGCGGATAATCACTTTTCATGCCTGCTTAAAATAATATTATTAAAAAAAAAAAAAAAGGAGAGAGAGAGAAAGAAAGGGAGAAAAAAACTCAGAGAGGGAGAGGAGAGAGGGCAGGGAGATCCCAACCCGGCAGCCGAGGGGGGTGGGGGTGGGAAAGCCGCGGTCGCTGCGAGCTCTGCAGAGAGGAGACAAAAGAGGCACAAAGTTACTCTCGCAACTCGGACTTACAAAAAGGAGGCGGACGGGGAAAAAAAAAACTTTCCACGCTCAGCCTTTCGATTTTTCTTTCTTTTTTTTTTTTCCTTTTTTTTTTCTCCCTGGACTTTCACTTTTTTTTTTCTTTTTCTTTCCCTTTTGCTC